AATAAACTGTTCTTAAAATTATTGCTGTTGGTGATGCAAGATATTCAACCTTGAAGACAATACCCTGTATTTAAGACAATTGTGTAGTTGTTAATTCTGTGAAAAGAGGCATTGAATTTCTGATTAAGACAAGTCCTACAAACACCAAATCAATAATGGCATGATTTCAGCCTTTGTTTGATGTCACTCTTTTCTGTGTCCACTTGCATGAATCTGTCCTGTTTCTTTTCTTTGAAATCCAAAAACTGATAACAAATGCATTTATAGATAAAGCAGTGTAGTGTTGATATAGCACCATCTGAAAGATATGGTCTGAAATGTGGCTGATGAGCTCCTCTTGTGTTTAAAGGTCAAAATTGCTTTAGGTAAAATAACTAAATTACCAGTTGCCCCAGTATCTGCATGTTGACATATATTAGCCAATAGGTTAAGAATTTATTTTTTTAAAATTGAATTTATTGGGGTGATATCTATCTATACAAACAGGGAATATGCTAATTAGCTGAGCGAGCGTCATGACCGCTGAGGAGGAGGTGTGCGCAGATGGGCGGGAGGGGACTGCGTGCCACCCCACCCCAGCAGCCACAGGGAGGCTGGGGCTGGGGGCGGGCCGGAGTGGAGACAGAACACACAGGAGCGCCTGCCCCCACCCCAGCCGACACAACTCGGTGGCCCGTGCTTCGCGGGTCAGGAGTGGGTCCTGGCCCCCCTCGGGGTGTCTCCTCGCGCAATTTCAATCGTGCGCTGGGCCTCTCGTTGGTTAATAAAATTATATAGGTTTCAGGTGTATAATTCTACAATACATCATCTGTATATGGTATTGTGTGTTACCACCCCAGGTCAAGTCTCCTTCCATCACCATTTATCCCCCCTTCTACGCTCCTCTACCTCCCCCCACTCCCTTTCTCTCTGGTGGTCACCATACTGTTGTCTGTGTCTATGATTTTTTTCTTCTTTGCTTAATCGCTTCACTTATTTCACACAACCTCCCTCCCCTCTGACAACTGTGAGCCTGTTCTTTGTATCTATGAGTCTGTTTCTATTTTGTTTGTTATTTTGTTCATTAGATTCCACATATAAGTGAAATTATATGGTATTTGTCCTTCTTTGTCTGGCTTATTCACTTAGCACAATACTCTCTAGGTAATGAGTTAAGCATTTCACATGCCATTTCATTTACTCCTCAAAAGAACTCTTTTCAGTAGATACTATGGTAGCCATTTCACAAATGAAGCATCCAAGGCACAGAATGGGTAAGAAACTTGCCTAAAATCTTAGTTAGTAGGTGATGGAGCCAGGGACGTCATGTGCTCACAGTTAGTGCTCTTGGCCATCAGAGTTCCATGCCTCTGGGCTTGCTGCTTAGCTGAGGCTAGATCATCTACAGTCTATGACACTGTTTTTTCTTCCCATTTATCCCTCTGTCTTTCCTATGATACGTAAATACTACTTCAAGGACAAGAACATTTTTGTCATCTCAATTCTTAGTCTTCTGATTTCATCCTACAAAATTTTAAGTTTTCCAAAGTAGAACTTTCTTACTAAAAGTAACTTTTTACTCAGTTTTTCAACTCAGATGAAATACAACAATGTCAGCACCCACCAGATTTCCCTTCTCTTCTCCCTCAGCTCTCTTAGATGAAGTCCCAGCGTCTGGGTGTGCTTAGTGGCCAGACTTTTTTGTGTCTTAGAGTGTGTTGGTATACTGTGTGAGTATGTTTTCTATTTTGTCAGTCTGCTACATCAAAGCATCATTGTAACACTGATTTCAGGAAAATCTCCAACTTTAGGGTCCTAAGGCAGGTGAGATCCTTCCATCTGCATATATGTGTGTGGCTACACTAGTTCTAATGGAAGTTTTTGTTGAGAAAAAAAAAATCTTGTTGAAGTTTCACTGTCTTTCTGTATCTTTTTATAACACTTAAAATTTTAAAATCACTAATTTAATTGCATTGCATTATGAATATTCCCTATTTTGGGTGGATAGTACATTTTTCCTTTGGAATTCAAGTGACTTTCAACATAGGACCTCATTATGTTAGTAATTATCTCGTTAAGAGTTTTTTGTTTGTTTTTAAGAAGGTTGAAAAAAGGCAGGAGAGGATGTAAACCTAGTTCAGGGAAGCCATTTCAGAGAAGCTAGGGCTGTACTTGAGCTTCTATAGCCATTTTCTAAGATTGCAATTTAATCTTCAGGTGATGCGGAAAGTGTCCAAATATTTTTCAATAATTTTTTTCCATAAAAATCCTGTGCCTTAAATTAATGAAGTATTGTTTAACTTCAATTATTAAGGTAATCCAACTCTCCATATAAATAGGCTTTCCTCTTGTCTGTTTTTGTTTTTTTTAAATAAACATCAGAAGAACTTACAGTGCCTTACTTGAAGAGCTGAAACACATTTGGGAATGTGTTTCCCAAATCCTTCTATTTAGGAATTAGCCTGAATCTAACACACTACCAAGAGAATAGCTACAAAGCTCAGAGGGCCTCCATTATTTGATGCTTTAATCACCAGTAATTTTGTAATAATTCCTATTCTTGTGTGTCTGAATATTATTAAGGCTTTTTACTGATTAAAATCTTATTTTATTGAATTGTCTCTGACCTAAATGTTTGATTATTTAAATTAATAACTTTTTAACCTTTGGAGGGCTTAATAATCTATTAGAAAATAGTGGTTCCTCTATCCAGTAAAATGCACATACACATAGACACCCCGAATTTAGCATAAAGTCATGAGGGAGTTCAAGGATTGTTGGACCTATTTAAGGGTCTATTGGAACCTATTTGAAGTGATTTGAAGAGCTCTGTGGCAACCAGTGTGTTTTCACAGAGCAAGCTTATGAAATTCTCTTTAAACCAAATTCCTTTAAAGAACTGCAGCGGGAAGGCCGGGGAAAGTTGGGGGGCAGGAGGGAGGGGTATAAGAGATCAACCGAAGGACTTGTATGCATGCATATATGCATAACCAATGGACATGGGACGCTGGGGGGTGGGGGAGGCCAGGGGATAGTCAAGGGCGGGGGAAAAAAAAGACACATATGTAATACCCTTTGTAATACTTTAAGCAATAAAAAAAAATTAAAAAAAAGAAATTGATTGATAAAGAATGCTTCATGGATTAAGGTGAGACTAAATAAATGACAAGAAAATAAGCAAAATAAACAAAGATAAGTCAGGCACTTGCATAAAATTCTCCAGACACAGATGCTCTCACATAAAGAGGTATATAATGATATCAGTATTACTTTATCAGCCTGTGGGTAAGCAAGTTATGTGGCTGAAACAATATATCAATCTGCATTTTATTACATTAGACTAAATAATATCCAACATTTTCTAATTTGAATATTCTAGCAGAATATTTCTAAGTTGAATATTCTTTAGAAATGATAAATCCAGTATTTCTGTATTCTTTCAGAGTGGATTTTATCCTAGGGAAATTAGGATATTTTTTCATGGTGGTCTTGGTAGCACATTCCACATCAAAATTCAGATACTATCCTTGGGGTTCAAGTTCTTTTATTCCTAGAGAAAACAGCCATACTTGTTTAAGATATTTATTCACTTTCATACTTGCCTCTAAATATTTCAAGTACCTTACACATTTCTTGGTTTATAATCATATTTCTCACCAAACCGAGACACGTTGGTAACATTAAGAACCTTAAGTTTCTGAAAAACAAGATAGCTCATATGTCAAAATATAATTTTCAAAATGTTGAACATATTCTCATATAAATAGTTATTGAGCACATGTCAAAATTTTATTTAGTTTGATCAACAGGGTGACAAAGCCAGTCCAAAAAAGAGGAATATGTATTTATCTCTGTATCCATAGCCATATCAATTCTACTCATATAAATATAAATTTTGGTACCAGTCCTCAGTGAGGCCAAATTTCTTCTGTCAATTATTCAATATGAATCCATTCATATTAAAAACTCCATATACCCCAGCTTTTTAACAATAAAATGTATCCTTTTTGTTCTGGTAACTTTAGGTCTATTGTTCTAAGCCTTTAGCATTCAGACTCACCTTGTAAAAAAGACTGATGGGTTCTACCTCCAGAGATTCTCTTCGTAGGGAAAATTTTATATCTATGTGGAGAACACAGATATAAATGACAGCCAGTTTCTCAGCATCACAGAAGGAAAGAAATTCCTTAAAGGAAGTAAATGTCCCACGTTCTATCATTTATGAATGCTGAATGGAATAATTGAAAACCTCTTAGAAATTTTATGTGGGAATTGTTTTAAAAAGTTCTATGTGAAATGATTTATTTCAAAGCAGAGACCTTGCTTCTAATATATACATATACTAGAAGCCTTCCTTCCCCCGGCTGCCAGCACCCGCTTCCCCTCTGGCACCCAGGACCAAGGTTTCCATTCAGCCACTAGCAGGCACCCAGGACCCAGGCTTCCCTCACAGCCCTGGCTTTGTCCGGAAGGTTGTCTGGAAGGTCATCCAGAAGGATGTCTGATCTAATTAGCATATTATGCTTTTAATATATACTAGTGGCCTGGTGCACGAAATTTGTGCGGGGGGGGGGGGTGTCCCTCAGCCTGGCCTGCACCCTTTCCAATCTGGGACCCCGCAGGGATAGGGCCTAAACTGGGAGTTGGACATCCCTCTCGCAATCCATGACCACTGGCTCCTAACCGCTCACCTGCCTGCCTGCCTGCTCGCCCCCAACTGCCCTCCCCCTGCCGGCCTGATCACCCCCCAACTGCTCTCCCCTCCTGGCCTGATTGCCCCTAACCTCCTCTGCCTCGGCACTGCCACCATGACTTTGTCCGGAAGGATGTCCGGAAAGTCTCCCAGTCTAATTAGCATATTACCCTTTATTAGTATAAATGATTTGGTCTTGCACTAGCATTTTGTTTAGGAAAGGTTGCTCGCTCTGCTCTTAGACATAGATGATGTGGCAGAATGTAGAGTGAGGGAAGCTCCTCAGGTCGTTCAAATGGAGCCATAGGATGTGTGTGTCTCTTTCCAGGACCAAGAAACCTCCTTCCCCAGGGCACTCTCAGCTCAGAGACTCTCCCCACGGTGGTGCTTTCTAGATGGTGAGTGTTCCTGTATTTCATTGAGGGGTGGGGGTTGGGGAAGTTGCAGGGCAAGGCATCCATTGATGGATTGGACTCCAGTTTTCCAAAAGGTTAGTCAGAAACCTTTCATGTGGTTCCTCAATGATGTGGACTTGCTGATGTTGTAACACCTCTCTGAAGTCATTTTCCTCAAAGCAAGCTGGTTAACTCTGGCTGAACTTCTCAGCATCAGATTGCTCAAGCTGGCATTTCCCTTCATCACTGTCACCCCCCGCTCTCACCCCCACTTCCTGAAAAGAGTTGAGTGCCTCTCTTACATTGAGGCCAGTAGATAGGTTCAGTAACCATGGGATAGGTACCAGCACGTATGTCTCTTGCATATTTTGGAGCTTTTATATCATTTTCACCAAATCATCACTTCAGTGTGATGCATAAGATTTTATCAAAGCATAGAAAATTTCAGTTGTGTTCATACCTGCCCTGCTGAGCATGACATTGAATGCATAATAGGTCAGTTATTTCTGATTGGTCAATGAGTCCATTTTCCATTGCAAGCATTTCTCAATCCCTCGATGCTTCTCAATTCTATTTTTCTATTCAGTTACCTATATTGAAGTCCATTCCTGCTTATATGCTTCCCAGTGTATCTACCACCCAGTGTCTCTCTAGTTTACGTGGTTTTCATCACAGGCCCCTCTTTGTTTATCTGTGAATGCATCCGAGAGGATATAACTGTGAATAGGAGTATGACAGGATGTGAGATGTCTGATCAGTATCACGAAGATGAGCACTTGTATCTATCTGAAATCTAAGCCATATAAATCATGACCTACTTTTCCATTGATGGCTTATCAACTGCCTCTGAAGGTAAATCACGCTGTTCTTCCTCCAGCTCTTCTATTCCCGATGATGAGAAACAATCATTTTTCCCCTGAATCTGCAGAGGAATGACTTATATTTAATAAAAGTATGGAAACGTATATGAATTGTTCTACAGATAGTCTGTTCTATATACAGTCTTTCCTAAAATTACAATCAATGTTTAAATAAACATTGTTTCTAATAAAACTATTTATAGAGTGAAACTAATATGGGGGTTAAGACCATTATCCACAATTGGTTAAACAGAACAGAGTAGAGAAAGTACTTCTCAGGCGGGGTCTCCTCTCCTATTACTTTTAGAGGGCAGGGGCGGTGACAGTTTTGTTTCTTAGTTCATTTGGAGGAAAGCTTCTTCTTAAGTATGGTTTTCAAATGATTGTTTGCATTTTGAGTTTTCCCTTCTAGTACTATGCAGAAAATCTGTTTATAATATTTGGACTCTGGTAGACAGATTTAAGGAAGGGGAAACATAATTCTTAAATGTTAAGAATAATCAGAATAATTTTTGAAAACCCAAGTTTGTAAGACTTTTTTCCTCAAGCCACAGCTGCAGCCCAGTCCCTTTTAAAAATGCTTAAATTATATGTATATAATTTAATTTATAAATGTAATAATTTATATATATGTATTAGTATTAGTATTATTGTTATTGCTGTTTTGATATTCTTCAGACATAGCTTAGGGACTCAGTTTTAAGGTGAAATGATACCTTTAATGCTGGATGTAGTTTTTGGCTCTGCTTCAAGATCTTTTTCAAAATAAGAACCACTTTCTTGGGAAGTCTGGCTACTGTGAGTTTTGTGGGGGTTTTTCTAGGCTTTATTTACTTAATAAACACATATGGAGTCCCAGCTCTGTTTAAGGGCCTAATATCTGGAGACATAAAGAATAAATGACAGACCTTTAAAGAGGCAGATACCTTAGTCTCATCATTATCTGTAAAGATAGTTCCTATAGAAGTGTAAACAAAATCTTAGTGTGCATAGAAATGGAAGCAATGAATTCTGTCCGTGGTTAGGGACGACGGGACTAAGGGAGGGCTCACAGAGGAGGTAACATCTCACTTGCTCCTTAAAAGGCAAGTAAGATTTTGACAGGCAGGTGTAATGGGGAAGGCAGGGCCTTCTAACAGCAGAGGCGAGGAAGTCCTGCGTTTTTCCTAATAGACTTAGGGACCGGTCACTAGTCCCTAAACTGGAATGGAAGGTTTCTGATTGATGTGGTAGAACAGAAGGTTAGAAATTTAGTGCCAGATCACAGGACACTCTGAATACCATATCCTTTTTTCTTTTTTTCTAGCAACTTCTGCTGATCGCTTTTATCGAATAGACAGATCTCAGGTATGTTTTCTTGAGCCTGCTTGTGAAAGTGAAAAATTCCCTAGTAAATATGCTTTATTGGTATCTAATCTGATAAATTTTTCTAACAAAAACGCGGAAACACACATTTTGGAATTATAATCTTCACCCTAAGCCCTGAGCTGTCTTGTGTTTTGTGATTGGTGGACTGGAGATGATATGGCTTGACCTTTTAAATGAATACAGAAAATAGCTAGACTTGTATCATCGCCAGCCTGCACTTCAGATCCTTACCTACATTGCTACTTATAAATACTGCTTCCTAGTCAAAACAGGTGCCTTTGAAAAGTTGACACCTCAAATTTAAGACCTCAGGTATACTGGTATATCTAGGCTACTTAGTTTCAACTCCTCACCTCTCAGAGTTCCGTAATAAGAAAATCAAATGTTTATGCCTAATGACCACATGTTCCCACTGTCCAAATTCTCCTGCAAAAAGAAAGGACAGTGTGGAATCCGGTCATAACACCTAGTTAACGATGCTATTTAGCCTTGACCAGATCCTGGGGGGAGGAAGTCCACTCATGCTGGACCAAGTTCATTGCGGATGTCACTTCTTTGGTAGTATTTGGGCATCTCTGGTTATACCTAACAAGATCCTGGTCAACTAGGAACCAAACCAAGGGGGATTCACCTCTCTCCCTCCCCAGCCTCTTGCTATGATGTTGCTTCAGGGAGGGATGTCCACTGGTCAGGCCTCTGAACATTGACTGTGGTCATTTGATTAGTCACAGAATTTCATTATTCCTCAAGTCCAAGAAGCTTTCTTCTGGTTACCCTTCAGATGATGGATTTGAGCATCCTGTCAGTCCTCTGACAGACTTCTTTTTCTTCCTTAGGAACATTTGCACTTTGTGATGGAGATTTCTCAAGATGAGGTTTTTATTCTGGACCCAGACATGGCCTTGTCACAGCAGGCAGGGACACCGCCAGGAATGCCTGACCTGGTGGTGGAGCAAGCCTCAGGGTGAGTAGGCGGCTCCGTTGACATTGTGATGGTGAGACTGGCCACAGGGTGCCAACAGTGTCTTGTTTGGCTTTAGCATTGACATTTCTAATGAGGGCAAACTATTTTAATATACAATAGTCCCCTTCTTATCCATGGGGGATATGATTCAAGAACCCTGCTCCCCCAGTGGGTGCCTGAAACTGTGTTTAGTATCAAACCCTATATACTAGTCTTTTTTCTATACATACATACCTATGATAAAGTTTGATTTATAAATTGGTCATAATAAGAGATTAGCAATAATACCTAGTAATAAAATAGAACAATTATAATGATATACTGTGATAAACGTTATGTGAATAGTCTCCTATCCTCCCGCCCCTCCACCAGTAACTGACATAGTGGGACGGCATGAGATTTCATCAGACTACTCAGAATGGCATGACATTTAAAACCTAAGAATTATTTATCTCTGGTAACTAAAATCACAGCAAGTGAGACCACAGATGACTTGGGGCTACTCTGCTGGTTTTCTGGTTGTGTTTCATCAGTGTTGTACAGGTGGACTCACTATACGTCTGACTTTTGAATGGTTGTGTGGAAGGACACTTTCCCACCCAGGTTTGCCTGAGCCTTCTTTACCCACCATGTCCACACCTCCTACCAAACTAGAAAGCACTAGCGCTTGCATTTGTGCATCTGTAGCTGTAAGGCCTGTGTTAGCCAAAAAACATTGACACAGGTGATTTGATAATTATTTTTCTCCTCTTCCACATCCTCCTTCTTCTTTGCTATATCCAGGCATCCTGAGGCATTGAGATTGTATAACAATAACTGTCACATGCCAAGCACTTATTATGAGCCACATACTGTGCTAAATGCCTTTCTTATATCCCTGCCACCACTTCATAGTGACTTAATCATCTTAAGTCATCTGTACTTGTTTCCTCATCTGTATCATGAAAATAATAACACCTACTTATAGAATTGTTCTAAGATTAAAGTAATTGATGCATGTGGAACATTTAGAATAGTTTCTGCACTTGATAGATACTCATTAAACATTATTTTATTCAAATCATTGTCATCATTTCACAATGACCCTGTAATTTGCTACTATTATGTCCTAAGTCCACAAATAAGAAAATTGATGACTAGAGGGTTCTGTAACTTTCCAAGTATTGCACAAAAAATAAATGGAAAAATTGAGATGTAGTCTCAGGTTTTCTGATGTCAGAACCCATGAATTTAACCATGACATTGAACCACCAAAATGATATTGATATTTCTAGGTTATTTCAACAATTTGAAAATATTTATTTAGAGGTTTTTTATGTGCCATATACTAGAGTAAGCACTTGGGAACAAGGATGCCAAAATTAAAATAGACATCCTTGCCCTTTGTGAAGTCTAGTGAACTTGAGTGGTTTACTGGTTAAAATAAGGATTTCCTTAGAAAGCGTGCGTGCACACACACACACACACGCGCGCGCACTCAAATAGCATATACAAAGTGTACACACATACCTATACAGTACAAGCAGTGATACTCATTTGAGTTACCCTTATGCCTGTTTACCCCTCTTCACTTGCTGCTATTTCTAAGTATCTCCAACTCTGCCAGGGCCAGCTCATGCCCGTGATGTGGACCGAGTGTGTAGGCATCAAGAGAAGACAGAAGTTGTAGGATGGAACAGATATATAGCTGTGCTTAGGAATCCAGAGTTAGTGATACCAAAGCTATCCCAGTGTGAAGGTAAAGCCAACAGGCACAAAGGGTGATAACCCTGGATGTTCCAGAAGGTGATGGAGAGGGCCCTCTTTGTGGTCCATGGACTATAAATCAAGCCTATTAGTTGTGGGGAAAACAAGTGAAGTGCTGAGTCCTACCCCAGGTGCAGTAGGTACTAGAGTCTAGCTGTCCTCCCACCTTACCTGAACTGGGCATACGGATGACTCACATCCCTTTGACCTAATCCATCCTTGATCTCATAAGAGTGAATCCATTCTGCCAGGCTCTCCTTAGTCTTGGACCTGTTGGTCATTCTCTCCATGTCAAATCATGGCCAAAAGAAATGGCTTGTCTTGGTTAGAATTCTATTATCTCTAGCTCGTAAATAACACAGCCTGAACATCCGCAAGTACTTGAATCAGTCCCTTTCTTTTTCTCATGAGGGGCCCCTTCAGGACATAAACCAGGAACAGTGGAGCAGGGGAAGAGGATGGGCTTTGTTATTTTCTTATCCGTACTTCAGTATCAGGCTTCTTTACTTCTTTTATGTTACATTTTAAATGATTTATCTTGAAATTCAGTTTTCTCACCTATAAGGAGGTCAGAATCATACAAATGGTTCATGACAGTTGAGAAAATTAAATGAAACAATAAACGTGAAGTACCTAGTAAATGCCCAATAGAGATGGATTTCCCTTTTCACATTTAGAGACAAGAATCACCTTGAGAAAGTGTAGGTAAGTCCTGTGGCTGACTTTGCTTACCTGTCTGGTGCCCTTCTCCCTCCCAGGATGTCAGACTGGTGGAATCCTTCACTACGGAGACGCATGCTGAGTGACAGCGGTCTGGGAATGATAACTCCGCGTTTCGAGGACTCCGATATGAAAGATCTCAGCCACTCCCATGCGCTACAGTAAGAGTTCTCTCTCTGTTCTTTACCTGTGTGCCACTGTGACTCCTGGGAGAGGATTGGGTGGGATCTTCACCAATGGGAAGTCTTCTCTTTTCAGGGTTGTTCATGCTGTCTCACGACTGTGTCACCCTGTGTTTTGACATTTTATTCACTTAAAAAAAAATAACATTGTGCTTAAAACATGGTAGATATGCAACAAACCTGGATGCCCTTTGCCTGGTATCTCACACTCAGTTTTGTATGTTGAGAGTTAGAAACATCGATCAGCTGCCTCCTGCACACCCCCTACTGGGGATGTGGCCGCAACCAAGGTACATGCCCTTGACCGGAATCGAACCTGGGACCCTTGAGTCCGCAGGCTGACGCTCTATCCACTGAGCCAAACTGGTTAGGGCTGTTTCAGGCTTCTTAGGATATATTCCTAGAAGTGAAATCACTGGGTCAAATGGCAGTTCCATGTTTAATTTTTTATCCCCAAACTCCCCATGCAGCTTCACTTTTCATTCCTCTTTCCCATGAGCCACACTGAGTATTTCATGTGGATCTATAAATACTTTCAACCCCAACAGTGTTTGACTAGACATTTCTGTGTTGGCCACATCATGAACGCATGCGTGAGAGTGATCATGAATAGTTTGGAAGGGACATATAGTTTTCCTTTGTATGAACATTTCGATGTACTGCCCCTCTGTTTCATTTGTGTTCAGTCCTGAGCCTGTGTGTGTGCTCTGAGTAATGCCACCAAGAGATTTTTGTTGTCCAAAGTGGAGTACTGCTCGTGTTGCAGCTTCAGCATTGGTTCATAGATCAAAGTGGTGGGTTGTGCTTTCTTCTGAAGTCTGATCACGGTCAGAAGTAGCATGAATGTTGGAGTTTGCAATGGTGTTGGTACATTTGTGTCCAGTGAATCCTCCCTTCAGTTATTCCTTCTTGCAAGAGCAGGTGCTAGGTACAGTCTGTGGTCATGACACACTCACTCACACCCAGTATTTGACTTCAGTTTTAGAGGTTATGCAAGTTTATTGCAATTAATCAAATGAGGCTGTTTTCTAGACTGACCCAAAGTCCTAATCCAATAGGGACAATGGCCCTGTAACCATGCAGTCTTACTATTTTCATGAAATAACAAGATTACTGAGATCCTTAGAAGCCTAGGGTTAAGTGAAGAGGCAATTCAGGCATTATTTCCATAGGAAGAGAGGAAGTGATTTCTGTATGACAAAGGGGAGGAAAATGAGAAATCTGAAGCTAATTATTTCAATGGTAAAGGCTATACTTAGACACTCTAAGGGCAAAAGGTGACTTCATTTTAATTGCTTTTCTATACTATTTCTTGTTTCTTGTTCTGTTGTGTGAAGAGTGGAAAGGAAAAAGTGAATTACTATGGATTTTCCTTTTTAATTAAAGCACATTGTTAGTTTCTGATAGCATATTGATTGCTTACAATTCAGGGTGCTTTTCCATTTATTTTTTTTATACAGAATTGAGGCTTGTGAACCTGGATGAGTCAGCCATTCATTGATGGTTTAAAATAGTGGCCATCTAGCTGTGAGCAGATTTGTTTGGAAATTAGAGTTTTAGTTAGCTGAATTAGAAATTAAGTCTAGACTCACCAGATGAGCATTTTAGTTGTTCTTATACACAGGCTATTTCAAAAAAGTTGAGTATGATCTCAATCCAGGTTCCTATACCCTATTTTTTTCTGTATATACTATATTAATGTATATATCATGCTACATGAAGTTATTGTTTCTAAGATAACAAATACTATTCCCATGAATCACAAATAAGTGTACCACTTTATATAACATCCAAGTTCTTAAAACTCTATGTCAAAATCAACTCATTTTTTAATTTGGGTTATATTATCTTTTCAGGGATTTCTCTTAACACGCAGCTGTCAGTTTTCCTGGCCATTTATACTACCTTAGCTCTTAAATACACGAGAGCAGCTAACTCTGTTTAAAAACATTTTCTGCCAAGTCATTTGGAAAACAAAGTAAGTTTTAAACCTTCACCCATAGCCTTTGAGCCTGTCCAGCTGAAACTCCAGACATTGTGGAACAGAGACAAGTAATCCCCACCAGTCTGTCTGATTCCCTGGCTCACAGAATATGTGAGCATGATAAAAATGGGGTTTTAAAATCACTTTTTACAAAAGTAAATACTATATATACCTTACCCTGATTTGTCTATTAATTCTTTTTTAAAAAGTTTATTGTGTTTAATAATTTCTTAGGAAGAACATCCCTTTATTCCATTAGAGATCATTTCTGAGATAAATAAGTATAACTGCAGTTACGGAATAATGCAATTACATATAAATATATAATAATATATAATGTCAATAATGAGTATTGATACTTGCTTTGTACATAGTTAAATATTCTTTGATTCTTTCAAAGGTTTTATATTTTGCTATTGCTTAGCAGCTGAATAAACTGAGACTCACAAGGATTAAAACATTGATCTTAGGTCACCCACAGTGAGAACTGTGGCTTAAATGAGGTCAGCGTGACTTCTAATTCCATGCTTTTCCCACTGCACTACACTGTCTTCCCAAAGGGCCAGTGCAAAGGCCCAGTGCCCAGAATCCCATGAACCAAGAAAGACCTACTTTGGTTTCTATTTTTCTTTTAGCATTTGCAAAGTGAAAAATTCTATAATATAGGGAAACTACGTAAGTGCAATATGTATATATGACTACAGATTAAACCAGAAGTAAATATGGTTGAGAATTAATTTTAAAATAAATATTTTTGCTTTAAAAAAAGAGATTGTAACAAAAAGAATGATACACTTTTATTTAAAGATTATTAAATATATATTAAATATCCTTCCATCTAAATAAGTACAAAAATTATATGCAAGGTCTTCATGTGCCAGCCATCCTGATTATTATGTTATTGTTTGATATTATTTACATTAGGTCTTCTTTTAATTCATAAACAATATAGGGTGGCATAAAAATGTATATTGTTTTATGTGTTTTTTTTTTTTTTGGTTTTGTGTTGTTTTATCTGTTTCCATCACCTGTATCATACAATGCGTACACTTTCGGAAATTGCCTTTTCATTTAACATCATACTTTAAAAAATGTATTCATATTGATATATAGATTTTAAATCCATTTATTTGGTATAGAATATTTTATTATAAATATGCCATAACTTATTTCTCCATTTTGATATTGATTTCTAATAACTTATTATTTAAGAAATGCAGTAAACATCCTGCTACGTGTATCCTTTTGTGTTGCAAAGGGTATATGAAATTTCAATTTTACTCAATCTTGTAAAATTTACCTTCCCATTAGGAATATTTAAGAATCAATATGTGAAAAGGGCCTGAAGAATCAGCACAAAATTCTAGGTACAGCAGGCATCTATAGCTTTCAGCCATAGAGTCCCAGATAATGTGGAAATAGGAAGAGTTGAATTTTAACATCCTACTCACAATGTTAAATAACGCCCTGTATAAACAAATCAGAAGGGAAATTTTTAATTCTTGGAACCAAAAATACTATTTATCAGAATTAGCAGGAAACCATTAAAGTGGAAGTCACAGAATGATTTGTGGCTCTAAATTAATTTATCAAGAGAAAAATGATTGCATACAAAGAAAGCATTCAACTAGTTTAACCAAGAAAAAGAATCCCAGAGTACAGAACAGAGAAACAAGAGAAAAATAATAAAAATAGACAGAAATCAATGACAAGGGCAATAAAACAAACAAAACAGGGATTAATCAAGAATAAAATTTAAAAATGATTCAGTTAAAAGATAAATAAGAGAGACATTATGAAAAACTCATTGAAAAAATAACTATGGGAAACAGAAAGCGTTGTAACTGCAGTGCTTTCCCTGGTCCATTCTTCTTCCATGGCAGCCAGTCTGCATCTGTGTGGGGAAAACCCTTTCCCCTCCAGACTCAAACCAACCCACCCCCCTTGCGGTTTTCTCATAGTTTTAAACTCTAGTTTTTTAGGTTCATCAACCTTCCTCCTGCTTCAGGGAGAGTAAAACAGAACAAACAAACTGAATGAATTAGATCTCGACTATTATTGGGACTAGTTGCATATGTATTATGATTTCATATAGAAACATCATAATGTTTTAGAAAAAAGCATCTATGTCTATATATAATAGAGACCACTTATATATAGATCCTCAAGGAGAGACTGCTATTCCAATGAAGAATATACAACACATATAGAGATATCCAAAACACCTAATAATACTTTAAACTGAAAACATCCTTTTAAGTGTAGTCTACAATTCTGAACCACCCTATCAAGAAGATAGTTCTGAAATTCACCACCCCCCTTCCAAACCCCAGAAGTTCTGCACTGAGCACAGGAACAATAGCTTCATTCCCCTCCTGTCTTCTGCTATTTCCTTTCCCCAGTTTCTTCCTGGGACAGTCGGTGGTGGCCTGACTGTGATACAAAAAGATAATTGCTCATATTGTCAGAGCTCCAGGCTCTCAACAGAAAGACAGACCATGGAGCACTGATTTGGGTTGTGGAAATACCCTTCACACATCACAATCAGATAAGTGGGAGGAAATTAATCTTCTTAGTGGGGTGCAGGTTTTGCTGGACTATGTCTTGGAGATGCAATCAGTGCTGTCAGGATAGAGACCGACCCTTGCGTCCGTTTCACTAAGATAGTTGGGTCTCATCTCTCCTTACCTTTGACAGCTTTAAATCCTGTCCTCCCTGGCTAATCGCTCAGGCTGAGAAAGTCACGTTTTAGCTGATGTGTATCTTTCTTTCTCCTTCTTTTTCTCCTTGCCTCTCCTCAAGGTGTTACCCTTTCCATTTAGCCAAGCACATAATAATACTCTGTCCCTTTATGTGTGCAAAATATTTAATAGGAGGTTTTTTTTTCTGTTCTTTTTATAATTGCTCCTCAAACAGTTATGGATATTGGGGCTTTAAACCTTTTTTTTAATGGACTTTCATTTCCAAGGTTAGTGGCAAAGCCAGGAAAGAATTC